GTGAGAAATTCCGTCAGGTTGTCCTTTTCATTCTCTGGAACCTGTCTTAATTTCAGATTCCGTTCTTTCCGTTGTAGCTCCAGTAAGGAGAGGGCCGCTTCATGCTCATTTACCTTTTTCTCTATCGGTGCAAATTTTTCCTGTGTCTCCCCGGCAATAGATCTTGCACTCTCTGCAATTTTCCTAGTTTCTGTAGATTCCTGAATCAGTCTATTTATAGATTCTGTATTAGTCGCCACTGACGTGGTGTTCAAGTCCAATCTTGCTGTGAGTTCTGTCAATTTCTTTGAATTTTCTGTAGATTGCTTTGTTAAGGCCTCTAGGGATTGATTTATTTTAAACAGTGCCTGTGTCATAGATTCCATTGATGCTGCTGTCACACTTTCCGGTGCAGGCACTGTGGTTGCCAGAGATTGAGCCTCTTTTCTTTTGTGTCACTTTAGCTTTAGATCTGGTTCTTATCTCCTCTGCCGTGCCACTCATATCCCAAGGCCGTTCTCACAGGAAAAACTTGCGATGGAAAATCCCACTGTCAGCCAGTTACTTTACAGTTTTTTCCCTCTTGGTCCTCCAGAGGGAGCAATTAATAGTGTCCAAGTTAGAGGAAACAAAGAAACAGAAAGCCGGATGTAAAGAGTCAAAAGTCCGCCATTAAAGTTATTTAGAACTTTTTCTCCAGGTAGATTTAGCTAATCAAATACAGATCCAGGCACTTTTGGAAGAAACTGATTTTCTGGATCCATTTCAATCAGGGTTTAGGTCCGGTTTTGGCACAGAAACTGCTTTGGTCGCCCTGTATGTTGACTTCCGTCGAGAGAGTAACTAGGGAAACGTGTCCCTGTTAATTCTCCTAGATATCTCAGCGGCTTTCAATACCATCAACCATGGTATACTTCTGGAGCGTCTGTCGGAATTAGGGGTGGTTGGCACCGCTTTGCGGTGGTTACGGTCCTACTTGGATGGTTGTTCCCAGAGGGTTCTGCAGGGCTCAATCCTGTCCCCTATGTTGTTTAACATCTACATGAAACTGCTGGGTGGGGTTGTCCAGAGATTTGGAGTACGTTGTCAGCAGCATGCTGATGACACTCAGCTCTGTTTCTCCTTTACATCTGCAGGTGAGGCAGTGGAAGTGCTGGACCAGTGTCTTGCCTCGGTAATGGGCTGGATGAGAGCCAACAAACTGAAGCTCAATTCGGATAAAACTGAGGCACTGTTAGTGGGTGGTTCCCTAGATCGGATGGGTGGGAGATCGCCTGTTCTTGATGGGGTTACACTTCCTCTGAAGGAGCAGGTTCATGGCTTGGGGGTACTCCTGGATCCTTTGCTGTCACTTGAGGCTCAGGTGGGCTCAGTGGCCCAGTATGCCTTCCATCAGCTTCGGCTGGTGGCCCAGCTACGCCCCTATCTGGACCACTATGGTCTATGCTCTGGTAACTTAAGTGTTAGATTACTGCAACAAGTCATACATAGGGCTGCCTCTGAAGACGGTTCAGAAACTTCAGCTAGTGCAGAATTCAGAGGCCAGGTTGCTCACCGGAGCAAGATGGTTTGAGCATATTACACCAATCCTGGTTTGACTGCATGGGCTACCAGTTAGTTTCCGGGCCCAATGCAAAGCACTGGTTTTTACCTATAAGCCTTAAATGGCCCAGGACCACAATACCCAAGGACCACCTTTTTCCCTATGAACCTACCCAGACCCTGAGATCATCTTCTGAGGTGCTTCTTCATGTGCCTCCTCCTTGAGAGATCAGGAGGGTGGCAACATGAGAACAGGGCCTTCTCTGCAGTGGCTCCCCATCTGTGGAATGCTCTCCCCAGGGAAGCTGGCCTGGCGCCTTCATTATACACCTTTAGGCACCAGGCAAAAACATTCCTTTTTAACCAGGCCTTTGGTTGATTTTATTGATATCCTATGCCCTTTTAAAACGTTGGGATTTTTTTTGAGGGAGTGGGGTATTGGGTTGTTGTTTTTATTTTAAGTTTGTATTTTGCGGTTTTATATTTTGATTTTATTCTGTTAACTGCCATGAGACCTGCAGGTATAGGGCGGTATACAAATTCAATAAATAAAGAACAATTCATTATACACCTTTAGGTGCCAGGCAAAAAGGTTCCTTTTTAAACCAGGCCTTTGGTTTATCTTATTGACATCCAACACCCTTTTAGAATGTGGCTTGGGGGGGGAGTTATTGGGTTATTGCTTTTGGTTTGATTTTATATGTTGTGGTCTTGTTGTGAACTGCCTTGAGACCTTCGGGTATAGGGCGGTGTATAAGCTGAATGACTGAATAATAAATAAATAACTGGCACACCATCCATGTCTGCCGAAAATTGCCCAAGAACCAGCAAGAATCCCTCAGATCCTATAAACCTTCTAAGGCAGACCATCATAATAGGTTCCCACTGCTGCTGTCCTTCCAGTGAGCACTCAGGGCTGATTTCCTTCAGAATGGATGCGTTTGATCTTCTTGCAGTCCATGGGACTCTCAAGAGTCTCCTCCAGCACCAGAATTCAAAAGCATCCATTCTTCGGCAAAAAGCTATTATTGTCACTCAAAAGAAACAGGACCATTTCTGCTGGGGTGTACCTGTTTGCTTTTGTGAGTCTCTTGAGTCTATATAACGGGCAGGCTAACAGATAATAAGTGATGTATTCCACCTGAGGTTGACCACAAATACAAAGTGTGTCTGTGTACAGAACCTTCTTGTGGAAGCCGTCCAAGACCACAATGGGCACCACATGTAAATGCAACACAATAAAAGCATTTATTAAGGAAGCTGGGGAGCGTTTGGTCAGATAACTAGCTCTAAAATGCTCTGTTCTCAAAAGTAGATACCAAGGGGTAAATTTTGTGTTTCTAATTAGTCATGGCAATGCTATTTTTCTAGAAAAAATAGACTGCCTCTCCTGGTATGCACCGTGGAGGACCTTAAGGTCCACAAATGACAACATTTTGGAGGTCCCGAGCATCAAGGGTTAGATTGGTTTCAACTAAGGCCAGGGCCTTTTCAGCACTGGCCCCGACTTGGTGGAACGCTCTGTCCCAAGAAACCAGGGCCCTGCAGGATTTGACATCTTTCCGCAGGGCCGGCAAGACAGAGCTGTTCCGCCTGGCCTTTGGTTTGGACTCAGTCTGACCCTTATGTTTCCCTCCCCTTATGGTCTTGATTTATCAGCTACTTTAAAATGAGGCTGCATTTTAAATTGCATTTTAACCTGTATTTTAAATTGGAGTTTTTTTTCCCTTTTCCTCCCCCCCCTTTCCCCCCTATTATGTTTTTACTGTGATTTTATTGGTGTTAGCCGCCCGGCTCTGGCTGGGGAGGGTGGGGTATAAATAAAATTTATTCTTTTTCTTGTTATTAAAAAGAGGTGCCAGAACTCACCATGAATGCGTCCCTTGTTCTCTTATAACGGCACCATCCCTGAGAGGTGCAGGAATTGAGTTCTGGCTGGAAAAAGCCCTGATTACAGGAGACCCATGAATGCAAAATGCAAAGTTTGTTTTTGAAGTGTAGGGGTTATCCTACACCGTATTGGAGGTTTCACCACAAACATGCCACAAAGAGGAACAATTTGTGTTCACTGTGTATGTAAAATGAGGTCATCCCTCTCTTCAGTCATGGAGTAGCTGATAGAATGGGACATTTGAAAAAAGTAGGACTATCAGAAGGAGTGTTTGGAAGGTCTACTAAAAGGTAACAGAACTTCTGGCAACAGAACAACCTCCCCTGCTGATCTTAGCACACAGATCATGCCAGCAGGTGATTCCAGGCACACGACATCAGGTTTTGGACAGGTGGTTGTGGTTTAGGGAAAAACCACAGGCCACATGCAAGCCTCATTGGGCCTGGAGGCCAGAGGAGCTTTACTGCTGCCATAAGAATGTCGTGTGTTGCTGCTGGCAGTGTTGAACCAAGCTATGGAATGGAGATGGTGGAGCCATATGGTCCTTAACCTCAGGCAGCAAGATGCCTTGAGCTACCTCTACCCAAAGGCTCACAGGGCTCCAGAAGGAGGAGAAATAAAGCTGTATGTCATCTGCATGTTGAGGATGACACACTCCAAATACCACACTTCAAGGGGCACTGTCCCCTAGTGGTTTCCCAAAGAGGATGAGAGTGAATGTGGAACCTTGCAGAACACTGAAGGGAAGATGCAATGGGGCTGAACAGAAATTCCCCAGCACCAACATCTGGAAGCAGCTGTCTAGGTAAGAGAAGAACCACTGCAATGCAACCTGTCCACATCCAACTCTGGCAGCCTCTTCAGAAGGACACCCTGGTTGATAGTGTTGAAAGCTTCGCAACTTGTTTTTATGCACACTGGACCACTCTCAGCTTTTGAGCTGCAAATTTAAGCAATTTGGAGATCTGATTTGGTAAAATATATGCTTTTTATTTATTTATGGTTTTATCATATTGAAGAGTTTAAAATGTTCATAAATATTAATAAATCTGTCTGATTACCATGATGAATGTGCCCTCTCAAACCAACTGAGTATGTAAACACTCCCCTTTTTTGTATTATTTTCTGTTCATTGCTCATTCTCACCTCACCCTTGCCTTCCAGAGTAGCAACAAGAGAACACTTCCCTTGCCATGAGCTGATAACAGACTTTAAACATGAGGAGCAAAGATAAAGCCAGGCCTGTATGCTTGTTCAGCGGGTAAAGAGAGTCTGCTAGGTGTGTGTTATGAAGGTGCTTAAGCAGGCAAGAGTGATCAAAGGTGCCATAAAGTGTTGATGAGAACTGAGTTTTTTAATTTCTGGATTGAAAATTGCCACCATAATCAAGGCTTACTAGGAGGCAGAGTCCACTGCGACTTCGCACTGTGACTTGTATACATTGCCAGAGTATGCTGTACAGAATGTCTTTTTTTCCACTTGCTGATGAATGGCCCTAACCATCCCGCTCCCACATATTTGGGGAGGGAACAAAGCTCCCCCCTCCAGTTTTTAACACACCCCTTGCTTCTTTTTCCCTTTACCGCAGTAAAAAAACTGAGCCCACCCGGTCCATTGCTCCTGCTGGATACCCCAAAGAAGGCACCTACCACCCCATCTATATCATCCCAGACCAGATGGAGCAGTGCATTTATGCAACCGAGGTAATGAATATACGCTCTCTCCTCCAACCTGCCCACTCTGTTACCCTGGAACTAGCTCGGGGTCAGAGATGGCAGTCACTGCCATATAGATCAAATGGTCATGTAAGGTTCACAGCTGATGGTATAACTATACACAGTCCAATAGCAGAATCAGAAAATGTGCCAGTTCTGTCTTGCCCCAGGGCTCATGGTGTCAACTTATTAAACACAAGCAGGGCCCCATAACCAAATATTGGCTGTTCCTGGGGGAAGCAGCCTTTGAAGCTCTGTCTGCTCAGGCAGGATGTTGCTCAGAGCAAGTGTTGGCTGACAGAAGATTGAGTGAATGGGTGCATACCTTTACAGTCGTACCTTGGATCCCGTACGCCTTGCAAGTCAAACGTTTTGGCTCTTGAATGCCGCAAACCCAGAAGTGAGTGTTGGTTTGCGAACGTTCTTTGGAACCCGAACGTCCGATGCGGCTTCCGGTTGGCTGTAGGAACTTCCTGCAGCCAATCAGAAGCCGTGCCTTGGTTTCCGAACGTTTTGGAAGTTGAACGGACTTCTGGAACGGATTCCGTCTGACTTCCAAGGTACCACTGTATATCTTGGCTTCCTTTTCTCCATCCACCTTTTCAAGACAAATAATTTCACTCTTCCCATCTTTCATTTTCTGCCTCCTTTCTTATTTTTAACGACACTCACACCTCTTAGCCAGAGTTGCAGGTTAAAAAACAACAGGAATACTTGCTGAAGCAATGTCATTTGGCTGTATCCAGCTGTGCTGGTCCCGAGGGTTAACCGTGAGGCGAGGTCCGAGTCCAGTCCGAGGTCCAGGGTGCAGTAGGGAGACAGTCCATCAAAGCTGAAGCTGGGTCCAAGGCAGGGAATCGGGTGGGGTCAGGAGCTCTGGCAGAGAAGCAGGACAGGGTGCAGACAGGAACTGGCTACCAACAACGTTGCTCCCGCAACCTGGAACTGGGGCTGGCCGGCTTTTATCTGCCCTGAGGCATAGGGCGGTCCTGATCCTCAGGTGACTCGCCTCTCCTGGCCCGGAGGCGAGCACTCCTCCTGCGGGAACATAGTTCCCTCCGCCTCTCTGCCCTGAGCCTCTGCAGCTCAGGAGAGGCTGGAGGGTTACTGGACCCAGAGGCAACCTCAGCCTCCCCTGATGGGGCTGAGAGTGGAGCACCTGCAGGCAATGGGTCCTCCATCACCTCCGGAGCCAGAGCAGACTCAGCTGGTGCCTGCACCTGAGGATCCAGCACAGGTGAGGACCCTTCAGGCTCAAGCCCCAGCCCTGGCTCAGCTGGTTCTGGAGGTGGGGACTCCTGTGCAGGCTGGGATTCCTCAGGTTCAGCCTCCGAGTCCGAATCCCAGGCCATCACACCAGCTGCCACTGTGCAGCCTTCCAATGAATGCAGCCACAGTCTTCTAAGACTTTAAAAATCTGCCTGAGCTAGCTGAAGCTGCTGAATGATATCTGAGCAGTTTCTTACTATGCTTTAGTAATAAATTATAAATTGCTAGAGAATAATCTTTTCCCTTGAAAAATATTACATCATGAAATACACTGGAAATCAAGAACTGGACGCGGGTGGCGCTGTGGGTAAAACCTCAGTGCCTAGGACTCGCCGATCGTATGGTCGGCGGTTCAAATCCCCGCGGCGGGGTGAGCTCCCGTCTTTCAGTCCCAGCTCCTGCCCACCTAGCAGTTCGAAATCACACCAAAGTGCAAGTAGATAAATAGGTACCGCTTTATAGCGGGAAGGTAAACGGCGTTTCCGTGTGCTGCTCTGGTGCCGGTTCGCCAGAGCAGCTTTGTCACGCTGGCCACGTGACCCGGAAGTGTCTCCAGACAGCGCTGTCCCCCGGCCTCTTAAGTGAGATGGGCGCACAACCCTAGAGTCTGTCAAGACTGGCCCGTACGGGCAGGGGTACCTTTACCTTTACTATTGTGTTTTGTTTACTAGCTTGAAAGCCCTGAAGTGGCTCAGCAGAACTTCTTTACACTAAATCACATCTCAAGGGGCAACTTCCTTTTCAAGGAAAACACTTTTAAGGTAGAATTTTATGAAAATCTTAATGTCACACTAATCCACACAGAATTTTTTTTTCTAATTCCCATCTTGCACTTCAATCTCATTGAAAAGCAAGTTGGTTTTTTACTGGTTCTGCTAAAAGCATGAAACAGTCTCACATATTCATATTATAATATGCATATACATTCCAGGTTTCCTAAAGTAACCAGCACATATTTATTATATGTAGATGTGTAAAAATATACCATACATACATTTTGCACATAGTTTTGCGTATAATTAGTTGGGCTTTTGAAAAACAGGAACAAAACAATGCATGAATGGATCTGACATAGGCACTCAATGCAAAGGCGCTCCAACGCAGGAACTGCCACATTTCATGTATAAATCCTCTTGCATTTCTGGCCACTTTCTGTTAGCCCCAAATTGCTCAGAGCAATGCCATTTCAGTTTTCTGCCAGGATAGCACACATCTCCCTGAAGCTGTAGTTCACAACTCCATAAGCTTATTGCTATTTGCTTCCTATGGGAGGCGGGTGGCGCTGTGGTCTAAACCACAGAGCCTAGGACTTGCCGATCAAAAGGTTGGCGGTTCGAATCCCCGCGACAAGGTGAGCTCCCGTTGCTCGGTCCCTGCTCCTGCCCACCTAGCAGTTCGAAAGCACGTCAAAGTGCAAGTAGATAAGTAGGTACCGCTCCGGCGGGAAGGTAAACGGCGTTTCCATGCGCTGCTCTGGTTCGCCAGAAGGGGCTTAGTCCTGCTGGCCACATGACCCGGAAGCTGTACGCCGGCTCCCTCGGCCAATAAAGCGAGATGAGCGCCACAACCCCAGAGTCGGTCACGACTGGAGCTAATGGTCAGGGGTCCCCTTTACCTTTACCTTTACTTGCTTCCTGGCCTTCGCTCTCTATCCAACCTGCATGCTCTGTCCTTGGTCCTGACACCTGACAAGCTCATCATCCCTGATTCTTGCTTACTTCTGATTGCTACCTGCCAAGCTACCTACTCGACTGATGCAGCGAACTCTTGAGATATAGCGAGGGATTATCCAAGTTAACAGTGTGAGAATTAAAACTAATGGAAACAAAATCACACTTTCCAATACACTAAATATTGTGCAAACCAAATACAACTATGCCATTGACATATTTTAAAAAATATACAACCATGTCATGTTTCTTTATTCAAGCCCTGCAGAAAACAACATACATAAGGTATTCAGTCTTGCTACGGTAACAGATCTCTGAAAATACGTTTAGGGTCGAGGCCAAAGTGTCTATGAAAATGGAAATGTTTAGGCAACAAGTTCTGAGTTTCCAGTTTAAAAGTTTGGCTACCCTTCAGCTGCAGTCCTTGTTTTGGTCGTTGAGTGTAAAATTCTTAAAGGCATTTCTGAGAGCTGGTGGTATAAACAACATTGGAGATGTGTATCTGACTGAACTAGTCTCATGTGGTTGCTGTTGTGAGGTCCACCCTGTCGCTCCCCAAACTTGTACACCAAACAAATCTCTGCTCCAAAGCTTTTTCCCTCCCTTACAAAAATATCCAAGGAGTTCACCCTGTTGGAAGCCACAGATTGCAATAACAAATTTGATCCTTCCTCCAAGGGGTTGAAATGGATTAGTTTATCCCTGGCTTTCTCAACCTCCACCCTCCAGATGTTTTTGGCCTACAACTCCCATGATCCCTAGCTAGCAGGATCAGTGGTCAGGGATGCTGGGAATTGTGGTCCCAAAACATTTGGAGGGCCGAGGTTGAGGAAGCCTGGTTTAGCCACACAAGGACCTTGTAGAAAAGAGGAGTGGGCAAGAATGTTACTAGTCTGAAGCCCATCCAGTAAGTTTTTAGACTGAATGGTTTTTTTCATGCATCCAAGCCCAATTAATCTCAGCAAGCCCATTTGATAAGCATTTCAGGCAAGGGTATTATATTATAACTAGTAGACTTAATTGGTACAACTGTGCTTTGGCTGATTAACATTCTATGTCCCTTTACATGTCTTTGTGGGAGGGAGGTTATTGGTTTTCCCTTCTTCTTGTTTTTATTATGTGTTTTGGGTTCTCATTTTGTACGTTTATGTGAACTGCCCTGTGCTCTTTGGATGAAGGGAGGTATATAAATTTTAATGATAAACCTCTAACAGTTGATGGCTAGCAATAATGATGTATTTCATTATTAGTATATGGGCCAAAAGGAATGATCCATATCATTTTGAAGGATTAAACAATGTAGCTTCCCCCCATGCCTATGACCCTAATAAAATTATTAGTCATGGTGACCATCAGTAATGAGTAGCTGCTACCATAACACCTAGTGTTTTAGAAAAAGAAAACATGTAATATTCAGTTTGGGGCTATACATTGTACATTGCCCAAAAGGGGTTCAAATTGACCAGAAAAAATCCATAACGTAATGAGAAAATTGAGGGCAGGGTATCGCTGAAAAGATGCTAAACAAAACCCAAAGCTGTAACTCTTGCTTTTTAGATTTTACTTATGGGCCCAATCATTCGCAGAGGCTGAGTCTTGCTCTACATCAGCATGTGCCCTATTAAGTATTAAAGGCAAGTGCTTTATAGCCTTAGAGAGATGTGCACCGAGTTTTTGCCAAGGGATCATTACATGCAGGAACAAACAAATCAATGAACACACTCAGCATAGGGTGATGCAGGATGGATTTCCGTTTTGTTCAGGAAGATTAGGGAAGGCATGGAAGCTGCTGAAGTAAAACCAGAAAGATATAATGTGCAACACCACATCAAAATGTGTGATCAGTTTCAGCATATGTGAGAAAGCAGAGGTAACATGTCTTTATGGGGGGGGGTATCTATATATTATGGGATGTGGGTGGCGCTGTGGGTTAAACCACTGAGCATAGGACTTGCCGATCAGAAGGTCGGCGGTTCGGATCCCCGCGACGGGGTGAGATCCTGTTGCTTGGTCCCTGCTCCTGCCAACCTAGCAGTTCGAAAGCACCTC